TTTGTATAAATAATTAAAACTTACTATATTATTATGTTTTTATTAAATAAATGTATATAATGTTTTTATTGAGAAATAAATAAATTGATAATTAATTTGTTTGTTTTTTTATTTATATTCTTATCTATTGATTTAAATAACATAAATAATAATTTCAAAAATTCTTTTTGTAAATATATAAACTGCTTTTATAAAAATATTAAAATTTGTTTATTTATATAGTATTATATCTTTATATATATTTATTGTGTAAAAAAAAGAATTTATTAATAATATTTATAATATTTATTTATTAATATTATTTTCATATAACTAAATTTAAATAAAGTATTTAAACATAATTTGAATAAATTTTTTACAAAAATAATATATAAATAATAAATCATTTCGGTGATTATAATTAATATATATTGAAGTATAATTAATATATATTGAATAGTAAAATAAATTTTATTACAAGTTAAATAACATATGAATATTAATTTTATTTGATAATATATATTATCTGATATGTACATTATATAGATTAGATAAATTATTGCATAGGATATTCTCTGAATAATAATGTTCGACGATCTTTTAAATCTTCTTCGTCTATAATTTCGTCTCCTTCTTCATTATAATTTTGCGCAAAATTATTTTCTTTTGCTGCAGGATTTTTATTATAAAAATCTTCACCGTTATCTTCATAATCTAAACATAAATTATGAAATACGCAACAACCTACTATAATTTGAGTCATAAAATGAACATCGCGTAAAGGTAATTTATTTGAAATCGGGCTTTTAAAATACCAAAAACTTTTTCAACTGCAACTCTAGTTATTGAAATTTTTATATTAAATGCTTCTTGTTGAATCGTTTAAATTACCGTTATCTTTGAAAGGACAGACAATCCATTTTTTTGCTACATTATAATCTTTATCTCCTAACAAAAAAGTTTTGTTTGGAAAAAGATTTTCTCTTTTTTGTTCAGCAGTATAAAAAAGCTATGATCTTCTTAACATTCGAATATCGTGAAAAGATCATCACAATATATATTAAGAAATCTCATATATTAAGAAATCTCATTACAATCACTAACAGCTTGTAAAAGAATTAAATAACACTGTTTTCTGTTAAAATATTCTTTACTCTATTTTCTTCAGGCTTATTTATATAAATATGGGAATCATCTATTGCTCCTATGCAGCCTGATATTCCTGTTGTTTTTCTTGAAACTCACGAGAAATTTTAATTAGATCATTTTCTTGAGGTTACTTAATAACTTCCGGTACCAGAGTTATTAATAAACTGATGACTCGACGTATAATACGAAATACTGATAATAATGATATATCAAAACGATTAGATAATTCGATGTGGTTCTTTATTTAAAAATCAAAGAGTTACTAGCAAACATAGTTTTGCAGATTTTCTTTCTTTTCCAAATTCATTTGTTGGCATAAATCTGCTGGCCTCAAAAGATTCTAAAAAAAAGTTAGCAATTAAAATAAGTTTCTTCGGGTGAGGGCCGTTTGACCATGGTTACAATTGGTCACCATTCATAACGTTTGAACAGAGGAACCCTCTAGATACCGGCCGCTGTGAATGGCTGTGGTCAATCGCAACGTGGTCAAACGGAACGTTTTTTCTATTACTATAAGATAAAATATCTTAAAAAATTAATATTATTAATAATAATATTTTACTTAATACTATTATCACAATAATTACTTATTAATCTGTACAATCATCTGTACAATCATGCGATTTAATCTGAAATCTTCTCTAAAAAAAAGACTATCACTTTTCCTGTGTATCACATCAAGAAAATTTTGCACATGATGTCTACGGCCATTCATTAATAGCTGCAGAAGAGGATCTAGCAGATCTTCTTCATATAAGTTATTTTCTAACGGATGTAGTTTTCATCTGAAGAACTACTACTGCTGTCACTATCGCTACTGTCACTGCTAGTACTATCATTATGCAATAAATAAATTACATTTATCCAATTATTTTCATTCATCTGTTAAAAAAATTATTTATTAACTTATATACTATTATATATAACCTCTATATGCTTTGTATTGTAATTCTATATAAAAATATATGTATATTTCTATGTATATTTGTAAAATAAAAATAGAACAGAAAATTAAAAAACTTACATTGTGTATATTATCTTCAAATAATAATAATTTTAATAAAATATTGATAATAATATTTTATTTAGATCAAAAAACCTACTATGCATCAACTTCTGCGCAGATAGGTGCTTTCCATTTATTACATTAAGAGTTAATGACTTGAGTCAGCTCAAATCGACACAAATCATAACAAATGGAAAGCACCCATCGAAGATATTATAAGTAATTATAATTATAAGTAATATAATATACTGATATAGATTATAAGTAATATAATATACTGTTTATATATTGTCTTATATTCCCCGAGTTAATTAGTTTATTTACGTAAGCAAATCTGATTTTAAGAAGAAAATGTCTACTGCAGATATATTTACGAAAGAAGAAAATAATGTTGGTATATATATGCTTCTTTAATAAACATAATTATATATAAGTTTATTATTATATATAAGTTTTAATTAAATATTAAGATATCACAATAATTTAAATAACATTTTGTTAATTATAAGACAATAATGCTAAATAGGCTAAATAATTATAATTATAATTATTTTAAATTTAGTCAAAATTACTTTATTTATAACTTTATTTATCTTCGATATCTACCAACTAATCACAGCTAACACAACTTAAGGAAT